CGATTAGCGCGTTAAAGTTGAAATCCGCCTTCGTATCTTCCAATTGAACGTGTAAATTTCACTTTTGTATCTCGCGCCACCTTTATTATGCAAAATGATCTCGTATAAATATTAATGAAGCGAAGTTAGATTTAATTCCCATGATTAAAAATCGTATACAGGGGTTAAGTACTCCTGTAGAGCGCGGAAATGGCATCTAAATTATCGTTATTTATTCAGGATTGGCTCGCGCGCGGGTTAATTAAATTCCACGCGGAAACGTCAAATTGCAATGAGTGGGCGCATTTAAACCGCATAAAGAAATGCATAATTAATTACGGCCATCACTGATTCCTCGCGATATTCGATTTCGTGGAAAAATACATACACTCTATACGTATATAATATTTCTACGCATAGACGCGCGTAAACAGGAATATTAAAATGTGATAAAATTCATCTGCATAGTATGAACTATAGAACTAATGATAAATTATACCTGTTATCTATTTAATTATAATTACGGATAGGTAACAGAATAAACAATATACTGTATAAACGTACAAATTAATATTCCGTCAAGTCAAATATGTGTAATTATTTAATGTCATACGTCAACGTCAATCAGTCAAATTAAAGAAGTATCTGAATTTGGGAAAAGCATTTGGAATTAACAGGGGCAGCAATAATTCTCTGTAATATTAAATTGTGAATCGATGACAAATCCTGATTCTTCGTGACTTGTAATTAAATCATTTCCATAAGAATATTTTTGTCAGGCACTCGAGGAACCATTCTTCGAATTTTGCCCTCTCTACATGATTGCACAATGGGATGCACAACGTGTTTGAAACTTTGACGATTAACGGGGCGGTGCATCGGGATTCTCGCAAAACCCCTCGCGGGACATGCGTTTTATAGTTTGTAGTAAATTCGAAATTCAGGATCCTGTGTGTGTGTGTACACAACGGCCTGTTTAATTGAAATACATCAACGAGATTGGTTGTGTCCTACGAAGCGGAATTTAATCTCGTTGTCTGGCAATTTTATTCTCTAATGATAAGGTGCGATCGGCTGGAAATAATTATGCGGCTTAAGTCAGTCAGAAGAATTGATATTTCATGTTAAAGAATGACAAATTAAATTGAGCCAATCGATTAAAATTCTCGTAGCTCGAAGTTTCTCTCCGGTGGATACGAATTGATATTTTGTAGAAATTGTTAACGTTTACGTAAGAATTCGTTTATTTCACTAATTTTCGAATGGTGACATGTAACGCTAACGAATGTCAATTAAATTACGGCAGAAAATTGGGAGTGATAACGTCGTTACTATGTTTAGTAATAATTGACCGATGAATTATTGAACTTAGGTAACTAAACGTTTAATAATTGAAACAGAGAGTGATTG